GGGAAAAGGGAAAAGGGAAAAGGGAAAAGGGAAAAGGGAAGGAAGCTAGGCTGCCTACCCACCATTCCTTATCTTAATGAATAGTAATAAAAGATACCTCAAACTACATTAGATAAATACAGATGACCTGCAAGAGATTGAACTAGGAGGAGCCACTTTTTACCTTCAGGGCAGAGAGGTCTTGAAGAGACCTTTAGAGATTGCAACACTGGGCAGTCACCCTTTATATGACGTCTAACAAGAACAAAATGTCAGATTTTGCATCTAGAATGGTGTAAAACGGATGTTGTATAGATGGAGGAATGAGAGCTGGAACGAGAGCCTCTGCAGAAAAGCATCTGGTAGTTTTGGATGATGCTAAGTTCACTGTGAGTCAACAGTATGTCCTGGCAGCCAAAAAGGTCAATCACATCCTAGCATCAAGTGGAGTCATTGTCTCATTATACTCAGTACTGGGGGGGCCTCTGCGTGCAGTTTTGAGATACACAACAGAAGCAGGATAGAGAAATATGAGAATGTCTTCAAAGGATGTCAACAAAGATGGCAAAAGAACTAGAGGGTTTGACTTATGAGCAACATCTGAGGGTACTAAGTTTGTTCATCTTAGAGTAGCAGAGGCATAGGGCTGATGTCATCATTGTCCACAACATCCACCATGAGGGGAAGAATACAGAGGGATGCTGATCTTTTTTTTCTGGTGTCTAGTGCTGGGACATGAGGGAATAAATTAAAGCTATGTCAAGGAAAAATTTAGAACAGATATTGGAAGAAAAAGGTCTTTATTGAGAGACTGGTCAAGCACTGAAACAGACTCAGCAGAGAAAATGCTTATGGTGCCAAGCCTGTTGGTGTTCAAAGAAAGTTTGAACAGTGCTTTCAGATATATCATTCGTCTTTTTGGTTGACCTCTGTGGAGTAATAAGCTGGACTCAATCACCCTCATGGGTCCTTTCCAGGTCAGAGTCTTCCATGATTCTACAGTTCTGTTGTGCTTTCAAGCTGCTAGCTACTTCATAATTTTACCTGTGATATATTTTGATCCATCTCAGTGTCTCACCTTCAGTTCTATTTACGTTAACAAAAAAAAAAAAATCAAAAAACAAAACAAAACAAAACAAAACAAACCCCCCCCCAAAAAAACCAAAAAAACTGAAGCAACACTACCACTCAGATTCCTTCCTATATTATTCTATCTCCAGTGGTTATCAAAAAAAAATCAAAAAACAAAACAAAACAAAACAAAACAAACCCCCCCCAAAAAAACCAAAAAAACTGAAGCAACACTACCACTCAGATTCCTTCCTATATTATTCTATCTCCAGTGGTTATCAAATAATATCCCTTCACTAATGTAATACCAAATGCAAAATTCAGACCATTCTAAAAAAGTGCTGGTATTAAATAAGAGATCTACTGTTTGAAGAAGGAATATGGACTGTTGCTCCTTATTAAAATTACTTTAACGCCGTCAATCTCACACACAAATGTAAAGCATCCTCCTCCATTGTTACACCTCCATCTTGCTTCTTTGCTGCAGGAAGCAGGCTTACCCTGAAGGACAGCTGTGAATCTCAGCTCTCACGGGTTCTGATGATATACCCATTCAGGCACATTATCTAAATAAGGCATTGCTGTGCAGCTAAATCTGAAGTTGGACCCCACCATCTTCATTCTTCCTCCTTATTCAGCAGCTTTCCATCGGCAAAACAGAGTTTCTCCTGCATGCTACTCTTGGGATGAAGTTGAAATCCTGCCCTAGGACTCAGATAAGGAAATGCAAATTTTTGTATAGCTCAGCCTCTCCTCTTTCCTAAGGGTTCCTCAGTGATGCACATATTTGGGGGTAGTTTAGCTCACTTTTAGTCTCTGGTTCCTGGGGACAAATTGGATGTCTGTTAGAACAAGAAAGACAAAAATAGCCTGGTGTTCACTCTTGAGAGTTGAGCTGCACACCTACTGTCACTGATGTATAAGTAAAATACACATATCATGGTGTGAGCCAGGCCTGCTATCAGGGTTTACCCAGTGTTGTAAAAGCCATGAACTTTAATTTCTACCACAGGTTTAGCATGCTCTGAATTGTACTCTCTCTAGTCCCTTTCTACAGTGTCAGAGCTCCAAGAGCCAGAATAGCAGTGCCATTTGCTCAGCACAATCCACAGGCTTTACCAGAAAAGTGAGGTTTGTAAGGCGGTTTTCTCATGTTAAGGTTCCCAAATAATTCAGATATCTCATGTTCTGAATAGCTCATGAAAGAGCTTCCTCATGAAAAATAATACTTTATTAAATACTAGCATCAGTCTTAAAATATCACAATATTATAAAACATCACACTAGGAGAATGATATAAACATCTCATATATATGAAGACTATGATCACCTTTTGTCTTAATTAAGAAAGACATGAGCTTCAGAGTTTGAACATAAATGGTACACAAAAATACTACTTTTTTTATTAAAGTCTTCAATCAAGGGTTAGATAACTAACTCCCCTATCTAACTACCTACTAGGGGTAGTTAGATAACTACCTCTAGAAGTTTTCATCTTTCTCAGCATTTTTAAGTTCAAAATCAATCAGGTAGTGTTAAAGTGCAGTGGATATTAACACCACATAGGAAGAAGAAGATCAGGAACAATGAAAATATAATGTTCAAATTTCTAAATTTTATGCCCCTCAACTGTTAAGACTGTCCTCCTTTCCCAAAACTCTTATGCATATGTTTGCAAGAATAATTATTCTTAGAAGAGGCATCAGTATCATTATTGTGATGCCAGTACTCAGGCCAGGGCCTCATTAGTGAACTCCTCATTTCCCTAACCTCCATAGCAATTAACTCCGTCTTCCATAAGATGTGCTGGAACACCTCTTCAGGGTGTTTTTTCCTTCTGTTTCTCACAGATGGGATTGTCCTGCAAAGGTGTCTTTCACTAAGGAAATTCCAGATGAGAATGGGAGTGGAAGTCCTGTGCAGAGCACATCCAGGGGATGCAATCAGCCTGGGCATGCTGCTCCCATCTGCATAAAGGTACACTGGGCACATGTGGCTTGCACAGAAAGAGGAGTTTGATGCACCCTGGATGTGCTGGCCACACTGAGACTATACAGAGGAAGTGGGGCCCTCCCAAGACACCCATCCATCACACTGATGTGACTGTCATGCCCCCACAGTGAATTCTATGACACTGATCTTGTAAGGGAAAATAATTGCACAGGCCATCCTTGTAAGTCTAGTACCATTTGCCCTGACTTCCTAAATTCATAGCAGGCAGTTTGATTGTTACTTTCACTGAGATGAATCCAAAACTTCTGGAAAACATCTTTCCTTTTTGATGAGAAACAATTTTTACTGTCATCTAAAATACCATTACTTACCACAGGCTTAGTGTATGTAGGGCATTTATACTGTTAAAATAACATCTCATCAATCTTTGAAAGCAGCTTTTCATCTATTTTTACTTTCACTGTTTTTACTCTGATGAAAATAAATGGAGTATAACATCTGCCTTTTCTTTGTCTTGTTCTGCATCTTCCCAGAAGCAAAACCCAAGGTCTTATATTTTTCCAACTCAGTATGAACTTTCTCTCCTTTCATATTTGAATGTGGCTAAACTGAGAGTATGTACTGTCTTACATACAAACAATGTGCACACTCATGTACACACACATACATAAAGCATTTGTACTGAGGTAGAGGCTGCTTGGTGAAATGAATAACAGATCACAACAGATCAAAGAACATGTGGCACACAAGTATATGTGCTTTAATAATGTGTGTATTTTCAAGAAATATTGTGCTGAAGCTCACCCACAGTAGTTCCTTTTTTGAGTTCCCTGAGTTCTATGAGTTTCTTGTCTGCTTAGAGTACAATTCTGTTTCTCAGGACTGAAAAATATAAGGTTTTTTTCATTAGCTGAAGCTCCTTTCTTTAAGTGATGCTTTCTTAAGCCACTGTTTCAGGTATCACTGTTGGCAAAATAGGTGTGGTCATTATAAAGGACTACAATAGAATTTCAAGTATTTATTGCCATCTGGAAAAAATTTTGTGGTAACTTTACATACAGCATTCAAATGATCTTTAGGAGGTCCCCTTCCTTCCTAACAACACCCTAGGGTGCACAATCCATGCTTTATAAACTCACAACAGATGTCAGATAATCTGAAGCAGCTATAGTCACCAGCTAGATATTTGTGACTAGTTCTGGTCCTCTGCTTAAAAAAAATGTATGTGAACCTACCTATGAACAGATAGACAAATTTACCAATATATTTGCACATTCACACAGATATGTAATAACACCAAGATCACAGATTCAATCTCCTTATGGGCATTCACTTAAGAATTAGATTCGATGATCCCTCTGGGTCTGTTCCACCTCAGACTGTTTTTGAAACTCTGTGAAGCTCTGTTCATATGCATTATTATTACATATACATTGCTTACACGTATGTATATATTACTTGATGAAAACTTAACAGATTGAAGAAAGAACAGAAAAGGACTACTGTTTTTCTCATTTAAATCTTGAAAATTAAGAAAACTCTACAGAGAAAATATTCTTACAGTAAAAATAACACAGAAGACACTGCAAGTCATGTCTATATAATCTTCACAATTCTATATCTTCTAGATACACTGGACAAAAATCTCCAAGGAAAGACAAACATCTCACTGATCTCCCTTGAGTCACGACTAGACTCTCCCTTGAAAATGAATTGGAACTTTAATAGCAAAACTGTTAAAGGCAACTGCTCCACCAAGAAGATGGAAGTCTCTGAAGTTATTTTTAATTATTTTAGGTACTCTGATATAGGTCATTAGAAATTATGTATTTTACTTACCTGTTAACTTAGTCAAAAAAAACCCAATGTGGTCTCATCCTCTGGAGTCTTTGCAAGAGCAAATTGCATGAATACTCTAGCTGCTATTTTTTTCCTTTCTGGCATATGCCTGCAATTAAAAATAAAAATTTTTAAAAAATAGAGAAATAGAAAAGCTGTAATTCTAAGCTTCTTCAGAATACTTCTGCTTTGCCACTACTACAAAGTGGTACAAGCTACAAGTACTTCACACAAAGTATATTGTTCTTAGTACCACTTTTTTTTTTCTGCATTAGTGAAATTGGCAAACCCTTGCTTGAAGTATAAGAGAACAAAATGGGTTTTCTAGCATACAGTGGATTTATCATTACATGAGCAGTCTGACCTACTGTCAATATGCTATAATACCAAAGATACAAGCAAAGTCCTATAATGGGAAGGAGTCTGGGTTTTTTTCATTCTGTTATTCAAATGTTTCTACTGAGAATTTGTGATTTCATGCTGTGCTCGTTTCAGCTCAGGCAGAGTTAATTTCTTCCACTGCTGTGTTTAGGGTTCAGAATGAGAATGGTCTTGGTAATGTTTGGGGTTGGTAATGTTTGGGGGTTTGCTAAATTGTGTTTATCCTAAATCAATGACTTTTTTCCTTTGGCTGGTGCTCCACCAGTGAGGAGGTGAGCAAAAGAAACCAGGAGGGAACATATCTGAGACAAGTGACCGGAGCCAACCAAAAAGATATTCCACACCACAGAACATCATGGCCAGTATGTAAACTGGGGGGAGTTACCTGGAAGGGCTGATCTGGGTCCAGGAAGGGAGGTCTGGCACCAGTCAGTAAGTGGTGAGCAACTGTACTATGGATCATTTGGTTTTCTCCCTTTTTATTATCATTATTTTAATTGTTTATGTTATTTTACTTTATTTTCAATTACTAAACTTCACTTATCTCAACATACAAGTTTTATTTTCATTTTCCTCCCCATTCCAGTGGGGTGATGATGGAAGAGAGGCACAGTTAAACAAGTGTGGTGTTTCACCTTCAGATGGGTTTAAAACCGTGACACTTGTTCAGTGAGATATTCCAGATTCTCTCTGCTTATCTCCTTCTCTTAAGCAACGTTTAAAAAATGTATGTCTATTTTATAATGTGATCTCACTAATTAGAAACAGACCGCCAAAGAGGTTTTTTCTCTTTTTTTCCCTCATGAACATTGGGGGTCTATAACTACAGAATTTAATTCTCTGCAGCATAAGGAAAATGCCATTTGGCTCGGTTTTTACCAGATACAATATATGTATCTACAAGTTTACTGTCTTTTGGACTTTACTGAATGCAAGGAAGATAACCAAAAACAGTCAATAAGTACCTATTCCACCTACAATTCATATTCGTCTTTTCTCATTGCACTCTTACGGGGCTAATTTGGTTTCCTGCATTTCCTTCTGATTTCATTACAGCAGTTTTGATTTACTTTTGAAAAATAACTGAACTTTTTAGAGAAATAGTGTCTCAAAGTCAGGTTACCTTCTAGTTACATTGAACAGGTCTGAATTTAGTATCTTCTCAAAATACTGAAAGATATTCTATGTTTATTTATTTTATAAAACAGAGTATCCTAATTATAACAAATTCTTTTGGAGTTATTCCTATATAAGTCTACATGAAATCTTACAGAGATAATTATTTAATTCTTAATAACTTTCTGAATAAGTTTATTTATTTGACAGACAAACCTTTAATTGACATCTATAAAATGAAAATGTTCTTCTCTTCAGTAGTTCTTACACCAGAGAATTTTTAGTTTTCTGAAACAGTAGACTTTATTGAAAACTCATCTGGTAGTACTGCACTATGCCTAATAAATCCTTGCTACTCAGACAAGCATCCCCCATATTTCAGGAGAGCGCAAGGGAATACAATAGCCATTCTGAGGGTTTTCTGTGGATTTTCACCCCTGAGAATAGCAATGTGGTACTAGGGGTATGGCACAGGAGACTACATGGAAGAGTATATAAATAGACCATTTTTTACAGGATATGTAATATGTATAGAATATGATGGTTTGTTGCTGCTGCTGTTTGCTCCCTCACTATGCCAACTATTTCTGCCAAAGAATATCCAGTTTCTGTCAAAAACAATTCACCATCATCTCATCCTCATGCTCTTTTACTGAAGAATAGTCAGGAGTTTAACAGAAGTAATTTTAATTGGACGTGCCTTTAGGTTGTTACTGAAGAGCATTTTGGATAACCATGCTTTCTTCTCCTGCACTCCAGTTCTTTCTATCAGAGAAGCTGGGTGCTTTTTATTAGCTCCTTGATAGACACACTTTTAGTGTGCTCTAAACTTTGCCAGTGGTGAGTGTGTCATCATTAAGAGAAGTGAGTAATACTACTGAGAGGGACTGGAACAATGTTATTAATATTGCAGTAAAAGGATGATCAGGAAATCCAGTTAAGATTACGGAGATAATTACTCTTTCCAGCATTTGCCTCCCTGAAGGTAATCAGCAGAAGCAGCCATCAAGGAAAACACCAACAGATCTTCCTGTCTTGCATTCAGCGACTAATTCCTTGGCTGCTGACATGTTCCTGGAATGATAAGCAGAGATACAATAATTTTCCTTTCCTTCTCAAACAAACTACACCTTTTCATCAAAAAAATACTATGGCAGCAGCACACATTGCACATTACAGTAACATCTAGCCCCTTGCACCCACAAGCTTAGTACATAAACATATGGAATTTGAACCTGGGTATGTCACACCACAACATAGCCTAGTGTCTGGCAATGAACCTACCATCTCCCAAAAGCAGCTTATCAGCCCTGTCTATTCCAGTAATAGGTAACGAGCCAGAAAAAAACGTAATCATAGAGCATGTCAAATCTGGAACCTCATCTAGTTTGACTGACATTTGAGCACACACCAGTAAACCTATCTTTGTTACCCAAGTTCTGAGTCCTGAGCTTTTTGCAATCCCCACTTCATCTGCCAGACATGCTAGTCAGTACAGCACACTAAACTTTACTCACAACAGTTCTGCCACCAATTTAAACTCAATGACACTCAGCAGCCCCTGAGTTCGTGTGGACGACCAATCATGAATATAGTCCTAGCCCTAACTCAGTAAGAGAATTTGGATGAGGCAAAAAAATCCAGTTCACTGAGTACTGCTGGACCAGACTCTTAACTAAACCCCAACCTCAATAAGAGCTCTAGTGATACCTGGCAGGTGGGATTATAACAGCACAAGACTGGTCAGGTTCAGCTCTAATGTGAGTCCTTTTGTCCTTTCTTGACAGGCAGTATTCCCAGCCCTTAGCACCTGCTAACCTGCATTCTAAGCTTCCTAATAATGCTAGTATTAGATACATGGGTATCTCAGCCCTACTCACCTCACCAAGTTAAAAAATCCTATATATATCCAATAAACTTATTTTTGTCTTTGCTTCTGTACTAATTTTATAGTGATACCTCTACTTGATAGAATTCTGTGGCCTTTGTTACATCTTGTATGAATCTACTTATCGAAAACTATTGAACCAAGCATGAGCCTATTCCCAGAGCTCAGCTCAAAGCTAGTAGAGGAAATTCTCCATATCTTTAATTGAAATTTAGGCATCTGATTTCCCCCCAGACTGTCCATTACCACAAACTTTATGGAAGAAATGTACCTCTTTCTCCTTCTTTTCTGCTTATAGCCTTGTGGTTCAATTGCCAGCAGGAAAAGGAACAGGGAAAGGACAGAAATACAGGCAAGGTTGGAATGAAGAACAAAAGGAGATTTCTTCTCTGTTCAGCTTCTATGTCTGTAAACCACAGCTTTTAGTACAGCCCTCTATCTGTCTTACACCTCTGAACAGATAATGTTATCAGAACATGACCAGAAAAATCCACAGGGAAATAAACCATCATATTTTAACAATTTACTCTGGTAGAAAACTCCAAAATTACTGTAATTTAGGGTGATCCTTTTATCTAAACTCTAGCACAAACTCTATCCTTACCCTTAATCTTATCCTTAATGCACTGCTGGATCATAAGACAGCCAAACATGAAAATGAATCTGCTGTTCAAAGCCCACTTAGTGGAAATCTTAGAATAGATTTTCTTCAAATTTATGAAATCTTGTCTCTTGGTTAGCCAATGTGCAGTAAAGCCCTACAGAAGCGCAACTCATAGTCACCTTTAGAGCCTTAATGGCTAACATTCTTAATAACATTGGTAATGAGGCTAAATTTTTTTCTACATGATCTGTTTTATTGAGCCCTAAATAAAAAGTCAGCTCAAATCCTATTTTCACATTGGCTGTTGGCTGGCAGATACAACCTACAACCCACAACCCAGATCTGAGAGAAAATCTTTGCCATTCTGGAGAGACAGCCAGAAGCCAAGAAGCACGATATCAAGTATCTCAGGTGAAAACAGTTCCCCTTGTTTACCCAGCTGAACTGAGTTGAGAGTGTTAGTGACAGTTACATCTACTACAGTATAGGTGAACCATGATTTTGCACAATGTTCAGTGTTAACAGGGTATAACATTTCCTATTTCAACCATGAAAACACTGTCTGGTATCATGCTATTCTTCCTTTTGGGTTCTGGTGTAATCTGTCATTTTTACAGACATTTTAGGGAGTCTACTAACCCCCAGCCATAATCCCAAAATTAAATTAAGTTCATTGGCATTATGTGGAATATCTCTTCTATTTTTTACACTGAGAAACCAACTGGTTCCTGTTCTAAATTTATTTTGTGGCATGCATTTTAACTGTGCTCATACTGTCACACTGAAGAATACCCATCTCCAAAACCTAGCACTAGGCAAAGGCTTGATTAGATCAATATACTCAGAGTGGTGACAGTCTTAATTTTTCCCCTGGGAAACCTAATAACCAATGGCACACTTACTGTCATTCCACAGCTTCTCATTTACTAGTCCTATATACTCACACACCTAGGCTCACAGTTCAATCATATGAATTACATGCCAAGACAGAAATTTAATCACTCCCATCTTAAATGTAATTTGAAATCTAATTTCAAATGCTGCATTTGTCTCTCAGAGTTTCTTGTTAACTAAAATGCAACCAAAGCCTGAGACTCTGCTGATACCCTGTGAAACACCTAGAATCCCTTGGTCATGCAATTGGAGTAGACCATGAGAGGTCCTCTCTGTCCAGTCTCCCTGCCAAAGCAGACTCAACAGTGCATTCAGGCCAAGTTGCTACACAGTCTGGAAGCCACCAGTGACAGATATTTCAGTCTATCATATTTTTCCTCATTGTGAGGGATTCTTCTCTATGTCCAGCCTGAGCCTCCCATGTTTCAACTACTGACTGTTGCCTCTTTTCCTCCCACATGTACTACTGTGAAAAACATAGTCGTGCCTGCTTGATCCTCTCCTGTCAGGGACAGAGCTGCTAGCAGGTACCAACACTGCATCTGGATGAACCAGCCCTAGTGCTACAGCCTCTACCCACAGGACACGAGTTCCAGATCCTGCCATTTTGGTAGCCTACACTTGATTGCATCATATTGCAGGGCTAGTATAACCCCAGTGCCACTTGAAGAGCCGTATTCACTTTCTTCGATCTACTGAATATATTCATTTTGAGGTAGCCCATGGTGCTGTTTGCTGTTTGCTTACTGCCAGAGTTCACTGCAGGCTCAGTTCAGTCAGCTTCCTCATCAGGATGTGCTTAAATGCATGGTTTACTGGTGGACTTGACAGAGTTTGTTTTGTTGCCAAATCATAACATGCCCAACCATGAGTGCAAGAATATTAACTATGGGTGGGTCCAGTTGCATTCAAAAGAACCAGTAAGGTAATGTGTTTATTAAATGCAACAGACAGAGTACTTTGGGATTTTTGTCAATATACACATTAGCTGCAGAATGGCTATCTTGGTTTCAAAGACAGGCGTCTACTAAGGAAGGCAGGAATGGGAAATATAAACCCCTTCACTCCAAATTATTATAATTTTGAAATTAAGGGGCTCTCGGGCAAAGATACGAGAACAGGAATAACAGTTCTTTACTAGTATGTACGATGAGCAAACAGCAGCAGCAGCTCGGCGCTGACAGCGAGCAGAGCCCACACCCACTTCCGGCCCTCTCTGGGCCGCGGGCGCCTTCCCCGCCGGTGCAGTTCCGCTCGCAGCCAGCAGGGGCGCTGCTGGCTCCCGGCGGGCAGGGCGGGTGCGGGGACTCCCCGCGGCTGCAGGGGGCGCTGTGGCACGGCTCGGGCAGCGCGCGGTAATGGCGGCTCGGCCCGGAGGGGAAGGGCTGGCGGGGAGGCTTTGCTGCACAAACCCTGGGCAGCCGATCCCCGTGCCCCAGCAGCACTTACGGAAACAGCAAGCTGGGCTGGCAGGAAAAAGCAAAACTCCTGGGGTGGTAGCCAAGATGTATCAGAAGCTCTGGAGCTGTGGCAGAAACTGCAGGACATGCAGGAGGTGCGGGGCTACAGTGCAGGGAAAGGTCAGAGTGGTGCTGAAGAAGTGGCGGGGGCGGGACAGGGGCAGCCCGGCTCCCAGCAGGGCAGAGAGGGGTGGGTCAAGATCCCGGGCACCCGAGCAGACGGTGACAGGTCCCTCTCTTAGTGAGGTGGGTGATAATAAGGTCCCAGTCCGATGGCTGCTCTCACGAGCTCACCCCATGGCAGAAGCAGCTCTGGGCTGGGCTCTGGCAGTAGCAGTGAATTCCCTCCTCTAAGCAGCAGCTCTGACTGTCCTCACCCAAAGCCGAGAGAGAGAGAGAGAAAGCAGCTTCCCCAGCCCCATCTCTAGTCAGCCCAATTCTCACAGTATCTCTACCCCTCAGAGAGAAACTCTCAGATAAGAGAAGTACAACCAGATGCCCTCCTCCCCTGAGCTTGGCCACTTCTTTTGGGTTTTTTTAAGCACCCAATCATTAGTGTTTCCTAGCAATTTATGGGGAAAAAAATCCCCAAGTAAAAAGTAACAAAAGGAAAGGAACATGACCCCCAACAACAGCTATATCTATCACTAACAATATTAATGCAATCACAAAATTAATTTCCCAGATGAAAACACTTGGTGTAGATGAGGATAAAAGACTTAGCGAAATATGTCCCTTCTAGGGAGAGCAAGGAGGGAAAACCCATCAATCTGTCCCTACAAATTCCATGTTGAGTTCTCATCCTCCAGTTAGGTACACTCTGGGTGGAACTGTGGTCAAAGTTTTCGTTCTTCATGGTCACATTCTATGGAATATGTATGACAGGTATTTTGGTAGCATTGGCTATTTTGGAATGTTCTGTACAAAACATTTCTTTATATCAACAGAAATAATAGGACCACACAGCTTTTACCCCACTTAGTGCTCCCCTCTGATGCCATGGCACCACAAACCACTTATCTCCATCTGGTATCAGTGTCCATTCAGATCACTATTGGCCCCATCATGTTTGAGCTTTTATTTTCGTTCCAGCTTCACACTTCCAACAGCTGGACTGATCTAAAGATCTTTTCCAGCTGAAACGAAAATTATTCTAGGACCCAAAGGACCTATCCTGCAGAGTTACTGCCACAGCTGACAGTGATGCAGTACTCCACA